CCCCTTTCCCCCCCCTTCTTCTCCTCCTTCCCCTCCCCTCGGAGGCCCCCTGAGTCAGGAGTTGCTACCACTGCCGCGGCTCCAGTCCCGCGTTGCCTCGGGAAGGGAAAGGCAAAAAGGAAGAGCCGCGGTGGCGCTTTGCAACAGCAGCAGCGGCACCGGAGGCTCAGGCGCAGCAGCTCCCGGTTTTGTCTTTCCCTTCCCAAGGCAACGCGGTACTGGAGTCGCGCGGAGCCGCGCCGGCGGTAGCAACTCCTGACAGCCTCAGCCGGACACCTGTGTGGAGCCTGGGCGGTGCGAGCGGAGTCCGCTGAGCAGCAGGAAAAGGGAGCTGGGCAGCCACGGACTATCCGTCTCTCCGTGCAACACGCCACCGCCCGGCCCTGGCGAGGGAAAGCAGCGGGCGCTCCCCGGGCGGCGGCCTCAGCCCCGCCCGCAGGGAAGCGGCTGCCCAGCCCCGATTTTTTTTTCAGAGGGGAATATCATGCCTGACTCCCAGAATTCTGGGAGTTGAAGTCCACAAGTCTTAAAGTTGCCGAGTTTGGGGTCCCCTGCGGTAGGCCACACCCATCATGGCCATGCCCACCCAGCAACCGGGCAGAGAACCGGTTGTTGGGGTTTTTGAATCCCATCGCTACCCATGGGGTCCTTTCCAATTTGTACATTGAAATGCAGGGTCCTCTCAACATCTCTAAGGTGACCACACAGCCTCTGTTTGAAGGCCTCTTGTGAAGCTCTTCAGATGGTATCGAAGGGTGAAGGCAATTGGCACAAAACTTTGGGGGATTTGGAGTAATTTTATTTTTTATTTTTAAACATACATCAACATCATTTCATGGACAGTTTTGATTCATTTTGATTCAAAAGTAATATTAATACAAATGAAAATGACTACATTAATCAAACTTACGTGATCTAATGTTATGCGTATCTGCATCAGCACATAACCCTTCATTTTTCAATTATTCAATATTTGCTACATCCTTCTAGTAGTAATAGCATTATTTTTGAATGTACCTGATAGCATCCTTTTTCAAAATCTTAACCTCTAGCGTTCACTTTAGATGTATTATGTAAAAATATGTATAACAATATTCCCCCTATTTCTAATTTTTTAATCTATTCTGATTTTTAGTACAGCCAATCTTGTTTTTTTTAATAAGAATCCTTCCTATCCATCATCCCTCATTCTCTTGGAAATTTCACTTCTTCTCTCTTTGACTTGCCTCCCATACTCTTCCCTTGGGTCCTTATCTACGTCTTTCATATTCAACCCAAGATGAAACTTTTGAACCAAAAAAGATTCACTATTTTTTTCTTCTTCTCATTTCAGCTTCTGTTTTCACTTGCCTTGCCATTGCTTTGGGATTTTATCGATTTTGGAAATAAGCCCACCGATGGGAAGAAGAAGAAAAGGAAGAAAAATACGCCTCATTGGACACCTCCAACATATCTGAGATAATATCTTCGGGTTGATCCTTTTTCAGCATTCTTTCAACAGCCAGTGATCTGTCTTCCATCACTCTGGACAGAATAGCTCAATTTGTGCCCCATTGGAGACTTGTAGAGGGTGATCTACTGGAGCCCAAGAGATCTATGGAAAACTAGAAAAGGGAGGGAAAAGATTAATGATCCAAAAGCTGCAACCAGCTATCATGTCATGTACTACAGCTGGTTTTCTCTTCTCCAGCCTGATCCTCTTAGCCTTCCTCCTTTGCGTTTGAATCTTCTTGCCGTTGAGTTGGTACCATAGCTTTGAGAATTCAGATTGGCTGTGAATTTACACCGTTGCACTCCAAACATATCCGGAAGGTCTCAACAGCGGAACATTGGTTTCCGTGAGCATGGGTGTTCACGAGAGCTGCTGGCAGAGAAATTTCTTCCCATCAGGTGTTCCACTGCCCTCATACATAACACCACTAGAGATTATGTCTCACTTGACATGAGAAAACCAACCAACGGAGAATGTTCAAAAACTGGTTTGCCCTTGATGTCTAAGGTGACTGAATGTATTGCAAAAAAAAAAAAAAAAATTCCCCTGCGGAACACATAACACTACTTTTATTTCATTCTAGATTGGATTGCATAGCTTCCAAATGCATGGACTTCAACTCCCAGAATTCTCTTAACCTCCTTGACTTTTGCTGGGAATTCTGGGAACTGAGAAGCATGCCTCTGAAGAGACTATAACTTAGCCACCCGGGATCCCTTATATAGGGGAGATAGGTGACAGAAAAAAAATTAAATATATAATAGTTTCAGAAAAGGTTGAAAGATCTGGGACCGTGTTTTTCAACCTTAGCAACTTTTAAGATGGGTGGGCTTCAACTCTCAGAATTCTTCAGTCAGCCATGCTGGCTGGGGAATTCTGGGAGTTGAAGTCCACTCATCTTAAAAGTTGCTAAGGTTGAAAAACACTGATCTGTGATATCTTTCAGTTCTGTTCTCTGCCAGTTGTTGGCTAAAACTAACTCTGGGACCTTTTGAGGTGCTTTATCACTAAATCTTGGCCTTTTTCAGGTAAGCAAAATAAAAAATAAAAATAAAAAAAACAAGGTGCCTTTTAAAGTTTAGCTTAGCACTGTTTGTAAGGAATGCCAGAGCATTTATTTTCAGATTGCCGCAGTCTCTGAATTCTCTTTTGTGGTCATCCAGTGGAAGTTACTACTGGGTGCATTTGTTAATCTGCGATGCTCTTGCTTGATTACTCTTCTTCCTTTATCAAGGATTGGATTCACCTTAACCAATTGGCTGTTTGGGGGAAGTCAAAACACTTGCTAGTACATCCACATGACTCGCTTACAAACTAACATGACACTCTGGCTTGTTAGCCATATCTTATCGAATGAGCCTTGAGGCGCGGTGGTTAGAAGGCAGTATTTCAGGCGAACTCTGCCCGCTGCCAGCAGTTTGATCCTGACCGGTTTAAGGTTGACTCAGCCTTCCATCCTTCCGAGGTCGGTAAAATGAGGACCCAGATTGTTGGGTCAGCGATAGGCTGACTCTTTAAACTGCTTTCAGAGGGCTGTAAAAACACTATTAAATGATATATAAGTCTCAGTGCTCTCGCTATTAGGCAATACATGAAATCATAAATCTATGGTTTATAGACTGCCGTGGCTGGCAGTCTGATTTTCGGGACTTCTGTCTATTCAAGGACGGTGATGCTAAATTTCCACGCAGCCGTCGGCACACTCCAAAAACGACAAGCCAAGATTGAAAGGTAGCATGCAGGTAGTTAAAAAAAACCACCACCACCCCCAACTGCAGAAAAGCTCCGAAATTATGGCTCCATCGTAGGGGGAAGGGGGTGTCCAAAGAAAAACTGTCGTTTTATTTTTGACACCCCTGCTTTGTCCCAACGGTACCTAAGCCACATGGGAGGTTGGATGACTTAAACCCATGGGTGTTTACATAAGATGGGGTGACCAGATTACATACAATGGTGGCCCCCAACCTTTGAGGCATAGACTGGTTCTGTGGACCAGTGGGGGTGGGTTGGGGGGCAGTTGGTTTTATGTACTGCCTGCATCCCACACATGCACAGATGGGGCTTCAATTGTTTGCGTGGTCCAGTTTCTGGGGTGCCACAGACTGGTACCCATCCATGGACTGATAATTTGGGGGGGGGGGGGGGCTGACGTACAACTATTGACAAGGACTGGTTTTCAATACCATACAGAGGGCAACGTACCCATCACCAGTTAGTTAAGAAGTTGGTCTGTATCTGGATTCTCAGTATGGAGCCTTAATAGGGATACTACATTTTATACACCTTGTCTCTGATCTAATCGTGCTCTAGATTTTCGAGACGTTCCCCAATAAATTTAGCCAGAGTATTGAGATACTGCATTGAAAAGACAGTTTTAGAAGCTCTGATGTGGGTTGAGAGGAAAAACAAGGATTTTTTATTATTATTATTGTTATTAAAGATGTCCTTTAAAAATGCCACATTCATTTGCTGGAAACTTTAAACCTGTTTTTCCAGAGCTGTATTTTCTGCAATTTATCTTGCATTGTCCAAAAAAAGAGAGAAGAAGAAAACGCAGGGTGCTTAAAGCTGCCAAATGTTTTCCTTTGCGAAGGGAATATTTAAACACGCATCGCCAGCTGGTTTATTCCCCAATTCCCTCAAATATCACTCATCAGACAGAATGTTGGGGTTTTGGTTTTTTTGTAATAGCAGTATTGTGTTTCGTAGTTCTATCGAACGGTCTCCCTCTTCCCTTGTGCTTTCCAGATGTTGGAGAAATAATTGAATCTTTTACTTTGACTTGTTGAAGGGAGGAGAGCAGCCCCAAAGCACCGGGAAGCTGAATTTGCTTCAGAAGTAATTCTTGTGGCTTTGAATTTTATAAACTGAAATACTTGGAAGTGAATGCCTCTGTTTTAATACTGGGTATCTACTGCCCCCTGGAGTTCACCTCTGGATTTTCTACTTGGCTGCAAATTTCCAGAGTTCCTTGATCGTTCAGTCCCTTCTTACACTGTGTAAATGTTCTCACCCGGCTACCAAACAACAAACCCTTTGTAGTTAAATAAATATTCCCTTTATTAGGAGTGCCAGCAGTCCTGGCAAAAAATCCCCCCCTCCTTCCTTCCCTCTCTCCCCCTCTCCCTCCCCCTCTCTCCCTCCTCCCTCTCTCTCTCCCTCCCTCCCTCTC